AGATCTGGTCGTTGGGAGATAGGAACTTGAAGATTGATGCTTATGAGATGAATGACACAATGGTCAAGTTCAGGATCAAGGATAAGGCGACGAGGGAGAGAATACTAAGGAGAGGAATGTGGAGTGTTGCAAACATTCCAATGGTGGTGACAAAGTGGGCTCCGGTGGTGGAGGAAGAACCAGAGCCGGAAATAAAAACAATACCTATGTGGATCACGATAAGGAACGTCCCTCACAAGATGTTCAGCTGGAAGGGATTGGGATTTATTGCGAGTGCTGTTGGGAAGCCTAAGAGGTTGCACCCGGATACTTTATTGTGCAAGAGCTTTGAGGAAGCAAAAGTATTTGTGGAAGCTGAAGTAGCTAAGGGTTTTCCGAAGGTGCATAGGTTCACTTCTAAATTGGGGATTGATGCTGAAGTTGCTTTCGAGTACCCGTGGTTGCCAGATAGATGTTGTATTTGCTCAAAGTGGGGTCACAATGCTAAGGTGTGTCGTGATACAGAAGCAGTTAAGCTGCTAAAAAAGCCAGTCATTCCAGAGGTAGGGTCAACTAGTGAGAAGCAAACAGCTCCAGAGAAAGAAGTGAATCTTTTGGTGGTTACGGGTATTACTGGTGTAGAGAGGAGGGAAGAAGGAAGGATAGAAGAGAAGTTGGGAACTAATAAGAAGGTTGAGGAGATAGTAGAAGGAGTAACGGTTGAGAAACGAAAGAGTTTGGCCTGTGAGGAGAAGGAGTTAGAAAAGGGGTCTAATTCTCAGCAGAGATTAAAAGAGAAAGAAGGAAATAGTTGGTCGGCAGTGTCACCTACTAAAGTAGGGAGAGTGGGTGTTAAGCAAACAAGTAACAGTGCTATTGTTAGTACTGCGTCTAGATTTGCAATATTAGCAGAAGAAAAGGAGGAACAAGAGAAACTAAGAATGATTGAGTTGGGAGAAAATGAAGATTATGAGGAGGATACAGATAGTATGAAAGAGGTTTCGGATGGAGAGGAGGGGGAAATACTTGCAGAGAAATATGCGAACAGGGAGATGAGTCATAAATCTCAGCAGTCTGGTAGGAAGCAGAGAGTACGAGGCCCTCAAATTCCTGCGAAGAAAACTATTATTGGGACTCCTGTTCCTGTTGTAAAGAAGGCTCCGCCTAAAGTTGCAGCAGGAAGGAAAAAGGCTAACAAGAAGAAATAAATGGCTAGCTTTTTCTGGAATCTGAGGGGGTTTAATAAAGCAAATAAACATTTGGTACTGAAGAAGTGGGTGGAAGGAAAAGATTTGCAATTTGGAGGTGTTCTTGAAACAAGGGTTAAAGAGAAAAAGTGTTTGAAGATTGTGTCAAAAGTTTTTCAGGAGTGGTCTGTGATAACAAATTATGAGCATAATGATTTGGGACGTATATGGTTGGTTTGGAAGCCGGGGGTGAGAGTTACTCCGTTCTTCAAAAGTGGGCAGATGATTACAGTATCGATTAAACTGGAGGGAGAGCTGGAGGAGTTTTTCTATACTGTAATCTATGCTTCTAATAGTGAGGAAGAAAGGAGAGTTCTCTGGAGCGATTTGAAAAGTCATCAGGACTCTCCTATTATCCGTGCTAAGGCGTGGATGGTAGTTGGGGACTATAATGAGACTTTGGCAGCTGATGAACATTCGGTTAGTGACATAGTTTCGCAGGGGATGCTGGAGTTTCAGAGTACAGTTCAGTACTGTGGGTTGTTTGATTCTACTTCTCATGGCCCGCTATATACTTGGACCAACAGAAGAGAGCAGGGTCCTATCTCAAAAAAGCTGGATAGGGTGCTGATAAATGATTTGTGGGCAAGGAAGTTCCCTAACTTCTACAGTGTGTATGAGAGCGGAGGATGTTCTGATCACCTCAGATGTAGATCGCACTTTAAGCCAATACAAAATCAGGCAAGGCGACCGTTTAAGTTTGTGAATGCACTCACGGAGATGGAGGAGTTTAAGCCAAAAGTGGAGCAGTTTTGGAGGGCTACTGATCCCATATTTTTATCTACCTCTTCAATGTTTAGGTTTTCGAAGAAAATGAAGGCTCTTAAACCTATTATTCGTAATCTGAGCAAGGAAAGGTTGGCGAACCTGTCACAACGTACAAAGGATGCTTTTGATGATCTTTGTAAGAAGCAAGAGGAAAGTATGGCTAACCCCACTGAGCACAATATGGTGGAAGAGAAGGAGGCTGCTGTTAGATGGGATAAACTGTCAAGAATAGAGGAGAAATTTCTGAAGCAGAAGTCTAAGCTACATTGGCTTAAAGTGGGTGACAGGAATAATAAAGTTTATCACCGCGCAGCCACTGTTAGAGCTACTAGAAATGCGATTCAGGAAATATTGTGCAGTGATGGAAGTGTTGTTGATACGACTGACACAGTTAAGGCTGAGGCAGAGAGGTTTTTTCGAGATTTCTTGCAGCATGAGCCTCCAGATTTTGAAGGTATTACTGTGGAGGAACTTGAGCATATCCTGCCCTATCGTTGTCCAGAGGAGAGGTGTGTAGAGTTGATCAAAGAGGTCACTGCGGAGGAGATTCAGAAGGTGTTATTTGCGATGCCAAAAGATAAATCCCCTGGCCCCGATGGGTATACTGCTGAGTTTTTCAAAGCAACATGGCAAATAGTAGGAGCAGAGTTTGTCATTGCGGTTAGATCTTTCTTTGAAAAGGGATTTTTGCCAAAAGGAGTTAACACAACTATTCTGGCTTTGATTCCCAAGAGACTTGGAGCAAGAGAAATGAAGGATTTTCGCCCAATTTCCTGTTGTAATGTGATCTATAAAGTCATTTCAAAGATCTTGGCGAATAGACTGAAGACTACTCTGCCAGAATTCATTGCGCTAAATCAGTCTGCATTTGTAAGAGGAAGGTTACTCATTGAGAATCTGCTTCTTGCAACAGAGATCGTGAAGGAGTACCATAAAGAGGCTATAGCTAAAAGGTGTGCGATTAAATTTGATATATCAAAGGCATTCGATACAGTTCAGTGGCCTTTTCTGCTAAATAACCTGAAAGCCATGAGATTCCCAGCCAAGTTTATTCACTGGATTTCTTTGTGCGTCACCACTGCTTCTTTTTCAGTCCAAGTCAATGGTGAGCTAGCGGGTTATTTTCGAAGTAACCGTGGTTTGAGGCAGGGGTGTGCTTTGTCTCCATATCTGTTCGTGGTTAGTATGAATGTGCTTTCGAAAATGCTTGATAAGGCTGCCATGGAGAGGAAAATAGGATATCATCCAAAGTGTCAGAATATGGGTCTTACTCATTTGAGCTTTGCTGATGATATTTTGGTTTTCACTGATGGGAAGGTGAGATCACTGGATAGTATTACTGAGGTTTTCAAGCAGTTTGCAAAGATTTCCGGATTAAGAATTAGCATGGAGAAATCGACGGTCTATCTTGCTGGAGTTTCAGAAACTAGAAGGAGAGAAATGGAGATAAAGTATTCTATTCAGTCTGGGAAATTGCCAGTGAGATATTTGGGTCTCCCCTTACTTACTAAGAGGATGACAGTTGCAGATTATAAACCTTTGTTGGATAAGATTCGTAGCAGGACTAATTCCTGGACGGCGAGGCACTTGTCAATGGCTGGGAGATTAACCCTTATCCAATCTGTTATTGTCAGTATAACAAACTTTTGGCTCCAAGCATTTAGACTTCCTCAAGCTTGTTTAAAGGAGGTGGAAAGGATCTGTGCTGCTTTTTTGTGGTCGGGCCCAAGTTTAAACTCGAGGAAAGCTAAAGTCTCTTGGGAGTTGATTAGTAATCCGAAGAAGGAAGGAGGTTTGGGAGTAAGATCTTTGAAGGTGGTGAATAAAATTTGTTGCTTGAAGTTAATCTGGAGAGTTCTTAGTTCAACGCCTTCATTATGGGTAAGCTGGGTGAGAAGTTACTTGATAGGAGACGATAATTTCTGGTCCATCAAGCTAGAAACAAGTAAGGGCTCTTGGATGTGGAAGAAGATACTGAAGAGCAGAGATCTGGCGGGTAAGTTTTTTAAAATGGAGGTTAAGAGTGGGAATCAAACTTCTTTCTGGTTTGATAATTGGAGTTTGATGGGAAGGATTTATGATATGACGGGGCAGAGAGGTATTATAGACACTGGTATCCCAATGAAAGCAACTGTTCTGGAGGCTGTCTGTAACAGAAGAAGGAGAAGACACCGAGCTGATCACCTCGTGGCTGTTGAAAATCTTTTGATGCAACAGGAAGGTCGACTGATAAGTGGAGAAAGGGACAAGCCTTTGTGGAAGCATGATGAAGGGAACTATAAAGAGATGTTCAGTTCAAAAGCGACTTGGAACCTATTAAGAATCAAAAACCCGGAGGTGACCTGGTATGATGCGGTCTGGTTTAAATACTCAACGCCAAAGTACTCCTTCTGTACTTGGTTGGCCACTCTTAATAGGTTATCTACTGGAGATAGAGTAAGGAAATGGGATCACACTTTCAATTCGATATGTGTGTTGTGTCATGTGGAGGAAGAAACAAGGGACCACTTATTCTTTAAGTGTAAGTTTTCTCATGAAGTCTGGAAAGAAGTAATGGGCAAGTTATTGAGGGGAGATCGGATTGCGGATTGGAGAAGTTTGTTATCTATGATGGTGGATAAGAACAGAGGAAAGGTAGACGCCTTCCTTATGCGCTACGCCTTTCAGGTTACAGTTTGGAGTATTTGGAGGGAACGGAATGAACGGAAGCATGATGAGAAGCCGAAGTTGGTCAAGCACTTGGTGAAGTGGATTGACAGAGAAGTCAAAAACAGAGTAACTACTATAAGAGAAATGGGAGACAAGAGATATGATGGAGGGTTTCAGAAGTGGCTTGCCACAAGAATATAGATTTCAGGAGTAGATGAGTTGTAGTTTCTTTGTACAAAGTCAAAGCAAAGTTGTAGAACAGTATTTTTCTTTTTGAATAAATTTAACATTTTTTCAAAAAAAAAAAAGAAGGTGACTGGGGCAAAGTCGGCTCTATCGTCTACTGGAACTACGTTCATGGCAAGTATACTCAATTCATATATTTTTTTCTCTTATTATCAAATATAATACTATCATATTTGAATATATGAACTTACAATAAACTTTTCAATTAACATTCACGTTATTCTCAAAATTAAATCAATATAATATTAACATTATTATATAATTTGGTGCAGATGGGGAGGCAAAGGTGGCAAAGGAGAGGATCGAGGCAGTGGAGCCGGAAAAGAACTTGATCACGTTCAGGGTTATAGAAGGTGATCTCATGAAAGAGTACAAAAGCTTCCTGATCACGATCCAGGTGACCCCTAAGCATGGAGGGCCAGGGAGTATTGTGCACTGGCACCTTGAGTATGAGAAGATTAGCGACGAGGTTGCTCATCCCGAGACTCTCCTCCAGTTCTGTGTTGAAGTCTCTAAAGAGATCGACGAGCATCTCTTGTCTGAGGAATAGAGGAGAGTACTCTTCGTGTGACTATCCTATCAGTCCTTGTGTCATTGTGTGCATGGTTGAAGCATGTTGATTTCAGTATTTAAAAGTTCAATAAATAATGAGTGTCGAATATATTTGAGTGAAATGGAAGTGCTGTGTATTACAAGTATGTATTCTACTTTCTTGTTTGTTTAAGTGTATTATGTTTGTCTTTAATAAAACTATAAAGCATGTGATATATGTTTGGATCAATAAGCCTCGTTTTTCTACTTTCATATTTTCGTTTATCAATAACAAATAAATATCCAGGTTTGAATTTAGGTCGTAGTGAACTAGCCCAAACAACTAAGCTACATATCATGGTTAGATTTGCATCGCACAGTATGGAGATGTAGTTATATTCAACCGAAACAATATGTGTAATAACGCAAAGTTATAACAACATGATTCGCTTTATGTCATTATAAGTGGTGGACTTGTGACATCGTCTCAGTCACATGGAGCATCCTATCAGTTCCAATAACAATTGGAGATGAATTATCTCATAGAACTGTTTTTGGTAATGGTCTTTCATATGAAAGTATGAATAATAGCTCTGTTCGTTTTACTAACGCTGTGTCAGAGTCAACCGATCAAATTAACAAACAAAACGGAGACATTTAGTCGCAGCGTCACTATACAATTGCCGCCGGTGACTATTACTACCTATCTTCTCCGCGTTTCGTCGCCGCTGTAAATATTAGCGGCTCCTACAGATGCGTTGACTTGACGCTAGCGTCAAATAGTATTATTTTTAACTCACCGTTGCTGACCTGGCATATATAATCCTTTTATATTTTGTTGCCGCTCAAGCTTGACGCTGCGTTATCCACCCGAACAGGGCTAATATCTACAAGGAGCTTGTTACCCTATAATCTTTTAATGAATCTGAATAATTTTTTTTACAAAAAAATCTGAATAATTTTCTCTATAAACAATCTGTGCAAGGTGAAATGGAAGGGAAGACTTCTCAAATCAACAAGCTTTCAGTTGTTTATGCAATTTTCCTTGCAAAATTTAAATGAGTAAATTTGTCCATTTTTTATCTAGATGTCATAGTTAAATTATTTTGCAATCTTTTCTATTCTAATATGATTTGGTTTTCTCACGAGAAACGAAAACGGTATCGGTTAAAATCTATAAAAGAATAAATATTTCCATTCCTTTTCAATAAAAAAAAATAAAAAATTTCCATACAAAGCAGAGTGAGTAATTTGTTACCATGTATCCAAAATATTTTTAAAATATTAACTACTAACTAGATTCTAATCCGCATACCCGCGCGGATGTTTTAAGAAAATTATTAAAACAATTACATACATGATTGATTTTATATATTTTGATACTTATAATATTTAATATAGTTTTATAGTCTACATGTATCAATTTTATTAATTGTTTTAAATTTTCATATTTTAGTTGTTTATATATATACACGTTTTTTTGGGTTAGAATTGAATGTATATATATATATATATAACAATGAAGGTGCATTATAATTTATTATTTAGTTTATATATTATTTAATTTCTTATAATAATTTATTATTTATGTTGAATATACATTTTTAGTTCTTAATAATAAATAAATAGGTATTAGATGATATTTTTATTATAAATTTATACACATTTATTATACATATTTCTAAATGTAATGAATATACATACTTTGAAGTTATTAAATAACATTCATTTAGTTTTAATAGCTTAACTTATTTGGTTAATTGCAATTAATATTTTAGATTTATATTTATTAAAGGACTTAAGATGAGGATAATGCTGTAAAAAGGAAAATTCTCATAATTAGAATTTCATATATTGATTAGTTTCTTATAAATAGATCGGTGGAATATTGATTTTACTAAGGCATTTAAATTTTGATAGATTAGGATTCTAAGTAAATGATAAATAAATTTAATGGCAAAAAGTGTAATTATTGAAAAAATTAAGAGGTATCTCAAATTTGTATTTCAGTTTTAATAATTTAGACTGATAGATTGATTTTTTTCCCTATTTCCAAAACAATTTTTGTTAAGTAATTGATTTGTTTCCCTGTATCCAAAATATATACTAGAAATTCCAAACTGATTTGTTTCCATATTTCATAGTATAACATCTTTAAATTAATACTCTATAAATTAATATACACTAAAAATATCTATAAAATAATATAACTTTATAGGCACAAATTGAATTTTTGGTCCAGTTAGTATATCGATAAATTAATAATTTCTATAAATTAATGAAAAATATAGTTTTGGTGTACATTTATTGTTAATATATATGAATACTTCTAACTCTATAAATATGATATTTTTGTTCACTGCCATTACACACAATTCTTTGTTCTGTGAAGAAAATTCTCTCCAAACAATATCACAAAAATGACTAAAACCTCTATTTTTTGCTTCTTCATGGTCATCTTTGTTTTAGGTTTGATTACATTTGCCATCTTCTAATCATATTTAGAACATCTATATTTTTGAATATTGATCACTATTCGTAATTTACACTATCTACCTATTTACTTATTATCATTATAAATAAAAATTTTAATTAATATTTTTAATATTTGTATAGGAATGGTGATTCAAGAAACTCAAGGACAGCCAATGTGTCATGATCTTCCAATAAAATCAAACTGTAATGATGGCGCATGTACCAATCTGTGTAAGCTGAAATGGAATGGAAGCGGCTCGTGCTTCTCAAACCAACAAGTTTCCAGTTGTTTATGCAATTTCCCTTGCAAAATTTAAGTTTTTTTATTTTATCTGGATGTTAGAATAATTAATAGTAATAATGAGGCAAAATAAATTTATTTTGCAATATTTTTTATTTTGTACTAGCTAGGTGTTTTCCTGCACTAGTAGAAGGAAAAAAAATTAAGTTTAAATTCTATTTAATAAGAAGTTTTATTAATATTATAGATTTTATTATTTTCTAGCAAAATTTAAATATAAAACTGATTTAGTTAAACATTAAATTAAGATAACATGATTTTGTTTATTTAAAATTATATTTAATAATATATATGTATATATTTAAAATTTTAATTTTAGATAGATTTTTCTATCCATTTATATTGATTAAATATATTGAGCTAATGTGTATAAAATTAATAAAAGTGATATAAAATTGTATAATTATCAAAAATTTAAACTAAACAGTATTTACAAAATTTGTAGATATATAAGAAGCTAATGATTTTACGATTAGAAATTATATTTGTACAAAATTGTAGCAATTTTTGAAAACTTTATTAATACAAATTGTATAATATAAAAAAATAAAATAGAATAATATTTCGAATTGTCATGTTATATTTGAATATATTTATTTTAAAGATGTATGAGTTATTACCATCTGTTAAATTTTTTACCATAAATAAATTTCAACATTAAATGTAAAGTATGCGTTATTATCATATTTAAAAAATTTACAAAAAAGAGAAATCAATAGTAAATGTAATTATCCATGTCATATTTTGTTATAAGCCATATCATAAATTTTAGTTGTCATGCCACTTTTTTTTTGTGAAATTGATTGTAGTGATGACATGTGGATATATAAGAAACTAATTATTTAATATAAACAGTATTTACAAAATTTGTAGATATATAAGATATTGATGATTTTACGATCAGAAATTTATATTTTAAAACTTGTAGCAATTTTTGAAAACTTTAGTAATACAAACGGTATAATATAAAAAAGGAATAATATTTTGAAATTTATAATGTTATATTTGAATATATTTATTTTAAAGATGATGTATGAATTATTACCATAAATAAATATCAACATTAAATGTAAAGTATGCGTTATTACCATATTTAAAAAGTTTACCAAAAATATAAATCAACATTATCTATAATTATCTATGTCATGTTTTGTCATAAGTTATGTTATTAATTTTAATAGTCATATCGCATTTGTTTGTGAAACCGAGAGATAATATGTGGCAAATCACTTCGTAAATAATATTTCGTAAATAATATAAAAGATATATGTTTGATTTTCTGGCGGGAAAGGAGAACGTTTCGGTTGAAATCTATCAAAGAAAACAAAATCCATTGCAAAGCAGAGTAAGTACTCATTATATTGTAACTTGTGGCTTACGTAATGAAGCTATTATTACACACATGACACATACTACATAGAGAATCATTAACATGCTTATTATTACCAGCTGGAATCATAATCCATTCAAGGTGAATCTCACGGCACAAATCATGTCCTCAACGATCTTGCCATTAAAGTAAACGATTCTGCTCTCTTCAGACAAGCAGTTTTCTCTAGTGTGTTACACTCTCTTGATCTCTTTATCATTCACTATCTGCACTCGAAAACCATTAGAGAGTAACACACATTGGAACTAGAGTAGACTAAGAGTTTATGGAACTTTAAGAGGTTCGAGAAATTCAGGGTTTGCTTTATTTCTTCAATAGTAGAAACACATACAAATATATTTAAGAGTTTAGGGTTGTATTCAACATGTAACTAAAGACCAAAGCAGAGCCTTTTGAAACAAAACAAAAAATATATATCTGATGAGACAAAGATGAACTAGTATTTGCATGAACAGAAGGACAAAAACAACAACAACCACATCTTCAACATCTCTGTTTATCATTTCTGCATCTTAGTCCAATTGTTTTGTTTGCATCCATGATGTCTTCTTTGATCCTAAAAAAAGAACCAAACGCTCTCACACTTAAATTACGAAAAAAGCACATAAAAAAAGAGAGCCACAGATTGTTATTAACATACCTTCTCTTCCAAGACCCTTGCAGCCTGGAGCATCAGTCAGCTCAAGCATGATCTCCAATTCCCCACACTCCACATTCCTTAATCTAAGAATCATGTCCTGTGTGATCTTCCCATTGCTCCAAGTGATGCTGCTCTCTTCAGCCAAACAGTTGGTCCTCCCTGGACGGATCCTCTTGATTGCACAACCATTGGGGAGCTTCTGGAAGTCCAACTCCATCTGGTGCGCTTCAAGAAACGGCCTCATGTCTATATCCGCATCACCCATCTTGTCATCTCCAGAGAATCTGTCTTTATCATACACCGTCTGCGTAAACAGAAGCATTATATGAGCCAAAAGGCCATGGAACATTCTTTTGTGAGGAAAAAATTCAAAAGAAATGCATCAAAAACGTGAAGCTAGTAACTTAGGCTAGCAGTGGAGTCAACCCACAGAAACATTTTGCATGTACATTAAACCTAAAAAGGTTGTAATAGACATGAGAGCTTACCATACGGATTGGATCAGTCACATCTTTGATGGTAAAGGCCAGTTGTTCTTCCCACACTGGATTGCAGTTATTATTGATCACACGCGTCTTCAGTTTCTGAAAAAAGGACATTAAAAAGGTTAAACAAAAACACAGTAAAAATGGTGATAGAGAGGGAAAACAAACAAACACAAAGACACAATCATCTGAAGTCAATCATGTCTCCGTTCAGCTTCCTTAGAACTCAGATCACATTGTTCTATTTGATACCGTTAACTACTTAATTCATGACCCTTCAACAGGATAATGTAACAGAAATGTTCATGCACCAATTACAATAAGACTAATGTTTATTAGAGTTAAGAGATGATATTTCAACAAGATTATGAATGAGCCTAGACCTCTATCATTTCCAAGAAAACCAATGCTATTTAGTTTTGGGAGTTTGACCCTTGAACAAGTTTATAATCATTTTCATTAAGAAAATGGAAAAACAAATTCTATCAGTTAAACCAAAGATGGACCCTTCAACCAGATTGTGTACTGCAAAAGTAAATGTAGTTTGTCATTTATCAAAGAAGACATAAAACGAAAATCAAATTGAGATTTTTGTCACATGGTTGTGACCACCAAAACCGTCACATGGTGTAACAGTTCGTTACAAGGTGGCTCTCCTCCATGTGACTAACAAGTCTATAAATCTTTCACATTTACTCTATAAAGCTACAAGATTTGTTCACTAAAAGATCATAATATCAATTCAATTCAAAAAGAATTCACATTTAATCTAAAGCAATAAGCTTAATTACTAAGAATCAAACCCAAAAGGCCAAAACAATACAAACCTGACTACCCAATGTGACAACAACATAAGGATCACTGGTGGTGGAATCACGAATCGCGAGATTAATCCCTCTTTGCACATGAACTCTCATTATCCCTAGCTGTTTATCCTCCATTGCTGCAATACAAAACAAAAAGGTTTAACTTTTTTTTTAATCAAGCTAGACCCACATGAGATATCGAAGAATAACACAAACCCTTTGCCTGGATTTGACGTAATAATTTATAAAAATGGACGTTGATTTTGCGAGAAAGATAGAAAGTTTTACGAGAAACATCGACATTGATTCGATGAGGACTTCCAAAAACAATATCGACAAATCCATCCGTTGTTTTCTGACCGATTTCATCGCTGCTCCTTTGCTTTCTTTAGGATTCTTCGCTTCTTCGCATTTGTCACACACATGACGTATCCTTCCTTCTCCACTTTTTGTTTTATGTTTTAGTCCTTAAACTTTCTTTTAACTTACAATTTACACCAGTAACTATTGCCTGTCAATTTTGACCGAAAGCGAAGAACCAAACCGAACAAAAACATGAATTAAGAATTACTCGTACCAAACCAAATGGGTTTTCTGGTTCTTAAATGGATAATAATCAATTCCATCAGAATTATTCAATAACCAATGTGAACCTAATCAGAATATTCGAATGCTGAGGTCTAGTTTTATTTCATTTCAAAAAAACAAATTTCGAAAAAGGGCTATTTTATTTTAAAATTACATTATGGATTATTGTATGTGGCTAGATTAGTACAAATCACTAGGTTATGAACTTTCAGTTTGGTGTGTTCTAATCTTTAGGAATCTTCATGTTTTTTATCGTACTATATATTAAAAACAAATTTAAAAGTAATTGAGAACGACTGGAAACTCAAGATTGCTACTATTATTATTGTGTGAACTGATAATAGCTATAAGCGAATCTTAGATGCGACTGACATTTTATATATAAGATATTGTATATTATGTAGAGGAATGGTACGATATTGCCTGATATGACAAAAATAACGTGTGGCATGTTGAATTAATGGACTTACGTACCTTTTAATCTAGAAGAGTTGGGTTTTGGCGTATAATTGAAATCAGTGGACATGATGAACTTGGAGGAATCTGGCTAGTGACTAATTGAACAGACACAGAGTGGCTGGACAATAATTAACGAGAAGCCGTTTCCAATTTTATTTCATTTTGTTGTATTCTTCCTAATCGTACGTTTGAAATTAATATCATAAGCTGTCACATTATTTATTAGTATTATTTTCCATGGATGATATTAGTTTCGAATATGCTACTCAAACTCTAAATGACCTGTTAGTATATACTAATATGCCCACTCCTTGTCTTTGACTGAAAGCAAATTTAATATTTGGCCGTTGCCTCACCGATGTATGATGTTTTAAACATCCACTGATGACGAACAAATTATTTTTACATTTCATGTAGATTTTTCTTTCTTTGGTCATCAAGGCTAGTATAATGGTCAAAAGGCCACTATCATACAGGAGGGGTGAAGCCAGGTTATTTAGGAATAACATGTGTTAATATATAAAGTTACATAACCAATAAACAGTTCACATACACCAGGATTTAATCAAACATATCTTTCTCGGAGTAATCAAGATTTTGCTTCTTTTTGACGACGGTATTGAATTCAGGGTTGGATTCATTATTTCTAGGATTCTAACACGTTATATTTGTGCCAGATAGCTACACAAGAAAATCATACAAGATGTTAATTAACGGGACATATTTATTAGTGGGACACTGAGCGCCAGGATAAGACATGGAAGAGATGATGATGATCAGAGGTGATATAGATCAAGAGATCATAGTGCATTGGGATGAGACTGATAGCTGTCTGAAACTTACGACATCTGTATCTTTGCTTCGTTGGTTTGGGTCCTATCCGTCAGTCATGTGCTCTCTCTATCTGTAACTTATGTCATAAACTTTTATCTCAGCTCTGCACCATTCAAAGATCATGGCCCATATTAATTCCATTTAGCTACATATAATTTAGGGAACATTACAAAAAAATGATTGTACTTTTCATAATATAAGCTATCGATGCAAAAAGATTCGACATTGTTATAGAGTTTATCTTCCGCCGCTCCTAGTTAATGCGTTTGTCCGGCAATATTTTAGATTCGATTAACCCAAATTAATTAAGTTATTGATTAACAAGGTTCTCATATTCTAAGGACGTATATAAACCCACTCCCTAACACAAAGATGTATTTAGGTATATGCCACAAATCAAGTAAAGTTGTCGAGAGAGTGCTATTTAACTATGTTACATGTTGCGTGTATCTAAGAAATATAACCAGCATAACTTAAGATAAAATTTTGGTACAACTATATAATTTATATTCCACAGATATAAGGTTTCTAACATTAGTAAAACTTATTAAATTCTAAAGAAGAAGAAACGTGTAACTTCTCAAGGTTAGTATGGGGAGGTTTGTATCGGTGGAACCTAAAAGCAGGAGGAATCAAGACAATGGTCCAACGCATGACACGTTATGCTCTTTCAGTAACGCCACTTCATGTTGCTCAACTTCGATAACGACGGTTTACCAAATTTATCAACTTCAAATATTACCAAAACAAAAGATAACTCGATATGATAAAGAGTCTCAAAAGAAATCAACTTCATCTTCTTTCCTGAATAGTCGTCCGGATCCTCAGTTACTTGTTTTTTTGGGTGCAAATGTTAAAGCCTGTATTTGTTTGTGTTTATATTTGTTTTATGTTGTAAATAATTTTAATAATAAATATGCATCTTATATATGTGATAAGCTTAAAGAAGACACTCTAAAAATTGCCGTATATCTCTGATATCCATGGCAAAGGAAGAAAATCTCTAGTATCCATGCCAATCTAATAAAACAACTCAATTTGAACTACATGCAAAAACGCATAAATTATTATGATTTTTATACTACTTTGTTATCAAAAAGGGAGTCTTCTAAATTTCATTATTATTGTTGAACTTCTTTACAAGTAAATGCATATTAGATGTTGGCTGTGTGTGTTATATTTATAACCAGATAAAAGAAACAAATTAACAATAATCTACTAAACCCAGATTTCTAGTATCTGTTTACTTCCAGCTCACATGTTTCACTATAAAATTGTTTGAGAATACTTTAACCGGTTCAAATATCAAAATAACCGTACGGAATATCGCTTGAAAGATATTCCATTTATGTATTTCAGTGGATTATATAACGTTGAAAATAAAAATAAATTGAAACTGAAAAATATCAAGTGAGGATCCTCTCAAAAAGATCATGCTCTGCTGACAAAGATATTTTCCTAATAAAATTTAGATTACGATTTATTTCTATTTCTATAAATAATAATATACCAATATCTCTATATACAAGATAATCTATTATATTAAAAGAGAAGTCATGACTCACTTTATGTGTGATATTTTAGTTTAGACTATTTTTAGAGTTTTATAAAATTTTACATAACATTATAATATCTTTTCATATCTTTAATTTTTGTTTGAAATACAAATAAATAGTTTTTAAAAAATTCTAACAAAATCTTTTAAAAATCTTTTAGAATCTTTTTCAAGATATAGTTTCAAAAATTATTTGATTAAAATTTTAATTATCATAAAATATAATTAAAATTTTAATTCCTTTTTAATTTATAAAAAAAAAATTAAAATTATGTAAAATACTTTTAACAATATCCCAAAATTTTCTTTATGTATTATGTAAGTCCAACTTAATTAACTTTTACATAGATTTCAAATTTAGAAATAAAACAAAATATATAAATTAGTAATCTTACATAATAATGTTTTTAAAAATTGTTACAAAAATACAAATTTATAAATTTTATATTAATAATATTATAAGTCATATAAAAATTATTATAAAATTGGATAGCATACAGAATCAAATTATACTTATTTATTAATAAATTTTATTATATAATTTTAAATATTTTTGTATTAAAATACCCGCACGGTTGTGCTGGTCAAAATCTAGTTATCTAATTAATTTATATTTTAACCAACACAGATAATTCCATCACCTATTATACTATTGTACAATTATCTGATTCACAAAGATCTACATATATTTTGTTTTTGATCTACAATCACAATGAAAAAATCGAACTTCTGTCAAAATCTTCCAATACATCGAACCGAACCGACTCGGTACATAAACGGCAAACAAAAAACAAAGCACCAAAAACGGTAACAGAACACTAATCCTCAATTTCGAACTTCCTAAAATACCCCTAAACCTAACCACCTATTTAAATACACCTTCGCCCCTCAGCTCTAACAATCACATTCATATCTTCTCCTTCCTCTGTTTCGCGAAACCAAAACTGCTCCTTCCTTGCTCGATTTCGATCTTTAATCTCTCTGTGGAATCGTTTGTGAATGGTGGAAACGAATCTGCTCGGTAGTAAGTCTACGCTCTCCCTTCCAATCGAAAGGGCGAGCCTTTTACTCCCTCTCTCTGCTTCCTCTGTTTTCGCTTTCGGTTCCTGCAAGGAAGGCTGGTACTTTCGCTGCTTCGGCATCGACCCGTGAATCCTATCTCGATCTGAGATCTCTGCTCTGCCTTTTATTTTTTTATCTCAATTGAAAATTTTGGAAAAAAGATGTTGCTTTACAAACAGAAGAAGAATCAGAACGCTAAAGGAAACAGAATCTTAATCAGCGTTACGGTTCTTGGTAGTGCTGGTCCGATCCGGTTCGTTGCTTACGAGGAAGATCTTGTTGCTTCGGTTATTGATACTGCTCTTAAATGCTACGCTCGTGAAGGTCGTCTTCCTCTTCTCGGATCTGATTTTAATGATTTTCTTCTCTATTGTCCAATGGTTGGACCTGAAGGTAAACCGAATTTAATTTCCCCATTCGAATTTACGGTTAATTAAGAATTGGTTTACTAAATTGATTTTTTTTTTATTGTGAATTAGCTTTAAGCGCATGGAATGCTATTGGATCGATTGGTGCAAGGAACTTTACTCTTTGTAGGAAACCAGAGGAGAAGAAGGTAGTCAAGGAAGGTGATGGAGCAAAGAAAGGAGGAAGCTTGAAGGCTTGGATCAACAAGTCCTTTAACCTCAAAGTCTCCAGCCATTGAATATCTTGTGTTTCAGACAAGACAGACCAGTTTTTATGTTTCTTTTTTACTTTGCTTTTGATTTGATTACGAACTCTGTCTGAAGCTTTTTCTTTTACATCTCTTATTCACCGGTAATAAAAACAAGTTTTTTTTCTATGCGTTGTTGTCGTGAAGTGTCATGTGGTAGAGAGGGATACGTCATTGTCGAATCCAAAATAAAAGTGATCAAATCTGTTTTGATTAGAAAGGGAAAAAAGAAAAATATACTTTGCGACGGAAAGAACAAGAAAAGTACAAATGAATGATGAATACATAAAAGATTTCGTACCAACATGTACTCTTCTCTCTACCGCTTCGTGTGTTCTACAGTCTTGTTGCCGTGCTTCACTTCTTCTTCGTCTTTCATGTCACGACATGTACATGTTTTATTTCGTCTTTCCACCTTTCCTTATCCAACAAGGAGATTTCTAGATATTCTACGATAAGTAAAATGCCACGATAGTTTTTTTTTTGTCTCGCTGCTAGTGGGTAACCAAGTATGCGCATACGATAACGATGAGATAGTTTTTAAATGATGTGTGTAAGTCATGGTAAGGTTTGAGACATATAGTTAACTAGTTTGATTAAGCTTACCATACACAATTTTACTCGACAAAGTAAATATAGATTATCCGTTTCTTTATTTTTTCTCCAACGACGCATTGCTAAGCCCAACAATCGTCTAGATGTATATGAGGGCCGTCGTCTGGCCCAACTCAGCATAATTTTTTTCACTTTTCCATTTTCTTCCTAACAAACCTTTTGAAGACACCGTAGTCAGTAGTCACCAACCGCCGAGCAACTAAAGGACTGCTACATCAATTTAAATTGTTACCGCTAATTGGATACACCACATCGTCTTTGCAGTTTGCAGCGTGCCAGCGTGTGTCTGGTTTGGTGTGTTGTAGGGTACAACTAAAAATACTTTCCAACAAATTATTTTTCGAGTAATTCTTGGGTTTGAACTTTGAGGTTCACCAACCAATATTATTACATTATTTTATATTCAGTATTTTTTAAAAAATAAATAAAATATTGTCGAGTTATATTATGTTTTGAATATTGAGAAATAAAAAACAATAGTAGTTGCAAAAAAAAAATAACTTTTTAATACTATTATCATAACACTAAACCCTAAACCTTAAAACCTTTTTGTAAGCCCTAAACCCTTTGATAAATCTTTGAATTTTTACAAAATACTTTTTAAAAAAAGTTTTTTTTGTTTGTAACTACTCTTATTTTTTATTTATTTTAATTTTAAAAACATAATATAACTCGACAATATTTTGTTTCTTTCTTAAAAGATGCTAAATATGAAATAATGAAATCATATTGGTTGGTGAACCCAAAAATTTCTCTTATTTTTCAACCACATTATTATTTATTGAGTTTTTGCTTAAATCCACATTATGGTTTTAACTGGAGAAAAATGTAAAAACAACTTTGAACTTTTAAATTTATGCTAGAAAAACTGAACTTCGATCTGAAGCCAAAAAAAAAATCCATTTTTTCTAAAATGACCAATTTAAATTTCAGATTTTGTTGATGGTACTAAATTAGAAACCCGAAAATCAACAGTTAAATCTTTAAACAGCTGTTAAGTAGCTAAACGACGGTGTTTTCAAAATTGATTCACAATTAACAAAACGACGTCGTTTAACATCTCTTTTATTTATTTTCTATCTCTTCTTCCTCTTTTTCGCGACAAACATAAACTAAAAATTTGTTCCTAAACTGAAAACCCTTATTCTCTAATCTTTCAATTCTCTAATCTCTCCATTCTTTAATTTCTAATGAAGACAAACATGAATCAGGGTTTTCAATTTGAGGGCTAATTATTTTGTTTTTGTTTGTAAAAAAAAAGAGAAAAAAAGGAAGAGATACAAAATGACAGCGTTTTGTTGATTGTACATTAATTTTCAAATGACTGTTGTTTAGCTATTTAACAACCGTTTAAAGATTTAACAGTTGATTTTTTTGGATTTTTAATTTAGTCCAATTAACAAAATTTGATGTTTAAAATGTTCATTTTTCTTTAAAAAAAGTTAGAGATTTTTTTGGCTCAAATCCAAATTCACGTTTTTGGTATAAATTTAAAAGTTCTGAGGTTTTTTAGCCTTTTTCTCGTTTTTATTGGAAATGCTAAGCGGAATAAAACAACATTATGGAAATAACCAAAACCATTTAAATTGACCGTGTGTCAACACACACAATCCAGAAAAAGTCAAATAAGCGTGTGCGTGACTTGGTGTGAAATATTATGGGAAAACCAAATATTATTATAATACCCCTTCGACTCTTTCAAAGTCTCCCCTACAATTATATCCATTAGCAAAAAACAAGAGCATCCTTTACAATTTCCTTTTGAATTGATGGAAATGCTACATACTCGCAAAAAGTGAAAAACTATATGTGAAATATAAAGCAAAACATGGAATTATGTCTTAAGTCTTCGTTCAAAAAATTTAAACCGGACGTTGTTGATATTGTTCCTCTGAAAGATTAGTTGGGTCTTGATCTTAACATTCAAATAACAACATGTACAAATAACTAAGGAATCCATTAATTCTTCGATACTCTAAATCGAAAGATGAGTCGATTTTACCCATTCACCAGTAAGATCGAACATATGATCCAAACTAACATGTAGTATGAGTGAGTTTCCAAATGTTTCTGTCACTGTTCACTTAGCTATTTACCTTCCTTTGACAATCATGGCCATCGAAGCTTCTAATATCAAAGAAATTTGTTTATTAAATGTCATGATCATAATAGATATAGGGTACAAGCTAAGATTTGCTTTCATTGTCTAGGATTATTTACCGTTGACTGGAGATGGGTAACATGGGTTCCAACTTCCAAAGGGACGACGCGTTAGTTCCGGCTTCCGGATAGATAGATAGCATAGGAATGTTCCACACACACAGTTTCTTCAACAAAAGGCTCTGATTTGTACTTCTTCTTTTTGACTTAGTCGTTTAATTTCCATTATATATTTTTACTAATTTAGGCTATATTAAGGTACGGAAGAGGAAGCTATATTTTACTAGTTGTGTTTACACTTAAAACTCCAAATCTACATGGTTGAAGGTCATTAAATCATGAGTCAAACTAACAATTGGAGTTAAATATTACTAACGTTAATATATATAGGAGAAAACAACTATTAAAACCATGAACTTTCAAAATAAAGCCAAAAAAAATTCGAAGTTGTGTTTGAGCCAAAATAAAATGTCAAACTTTCATATATTGGCTGCTTTAGCTCTCGTATTTTGTTAACTCGGCCATTTAAAAAAATCTAAAAAACCAACTCTTAAATGCGATTATAAAAATAGATGTATATTAACTCTAAACGAATGTTGTTTTAAAAAACTAGTCAAACAATGTTGTTTTGTCTCTTTAAACACTTAAAACATCTCTTTTGCAAAACTAGAGTCCAAAATCGATTTCATCTTCTTGACTTGAAATGAGGAAAATGAAGTTGATTTGAAATTTATGGTTTCACGAATAAGATACTTTAACTGTTTACAAAAATAAAATGTCATTGTTTGATTAATATTTAATCAGTTTTTAAAACAACATCGTTTAAAAATTAACATACATCTTTTTTTTTACTTGGTTCAAGAGAGAGGTGAGAGAATATTCTCTCCAGAGTCTCTCCTCCCTTTGTTTCTCTAAACCTAGCGCCACCGTCAAAACTAAATCTCTCTCGCGGTGGTCGGCGATTTTCTATCTCCAGTCACCGCGGGTGGTAGGCTCCTCATTGTTCTCGTCTCATATCCAAGTTGTTCTTCCCTTCTTTCTCTCCTCTTTGCTCGGTGCTTATAGATTTGATGGAGTTCTTCACTAGATCTGTTAGAAATCAAAGGCGTCTTTGTTTCTCGGGAACCCCGGCGAGGTGAGAAGATACGAAGGACCCTTGGACGCCTTGGATCTCCATGTAGTCGCCGTCTGCGCTCGGATCCGGGTCAGATCTGAGATCCGAGACCCGCCGGAGCCTCTGAAGCGTCGCTGCCATCACGCTCCTGCCTCGTCGTCTCACTCCAGTTGGTCTATTTTATCGGTTAGATTCAAGTGTTTGTAGAGCTTCTCCGCTCAGTCTCTGAGTGTAAGGTGGTTTGGAGACGCACCACTAAGGACCTCTGTCGCCTAGTCCAAGAGATAGCATCCATGGCGCTCCTCTGATGATGATCGAGTAGGCTATCCTTCCAGCTACCGGCATCGTCTCACTATGGTCTTGAGGACAACCCGTTAATTGTGGCAGTGTCAACTGCTTCAAGGCTAAGCTCTCTCTCATCGCTTGAGTCGTCTGTTTTTCAAGGAGTTTTTAACACCTTTTGTGCTTCTTTTCCCTTGTGCCAAAGCTCCAACAGTCTGATTGGGCGTACACATTTTCTCTACTGCATCTATTGTGTCGCGTGACCGAATGGGGAGCATGTTTGTTGCGCTTGACCGTAACTTGAGCTTCACCTTCAGCAGCATAGCCACTGGTCTTTCACTCCATCTTCTGGTGAGATAGTCGGGGTCTGGTTCTATTGACGTCCTTCTCTAGTGAAGCTCCGAGGCGTGAGCCAGCCGCCTTCGTCGATGCCTGCTGGATTCACTTCGGTGAGTGCTCGACTGATCCTACCCTACGGCTATTCCTCTTGTCTCAGCATGTTTGTTCAGGTTAAGCAAGAAGGCTTTGGTTAGGGATTTTAAACTGCTGTTTCTTGTTCTGCTTTGTCTATTAGTTTCAGTCTCTCTATTGCTGGAAGCTTAGACTAATTCACCTAGGTTCTTATTTTTAACTTTTTGCGGCCTCTTAGAATCTGAATGGCTGTTATAGCAGACCTTGGTTTTAATTCATCTTGTAACCGAACCTTAATTCTTTTCGAAATAATGACATTTACAATTTAGCAAAAAATAACAATTAATATATGATTGGAGTTCTAAATAAGAACTTCTAGAAACTTCATGAAAACCTCAAATACACTTGT